TGATGGCAAGGACGTGAGCTAATTGGTCGGTTGTGAGACCTCATCTCATCTTGCGAGTGTTCGAAAGAGATGATCTCGTTGAATGTCAAGCGATTATTTATACGGACTTCAAAGATTCGCATGCGTCGACTAGTGAAATGGCCTCAGGAAACGAACAACCTGCATCCCAGACGAGTGATCCGTGCGAATTAGCTTGCTTGCGTAATTAGGTAACGTTGTATGGTATCCATAATCGTGCGGATTGACAAAGATTCTGTCGACAAGTTGATTGATTGGTGCTCACGATACTTCCGCTCTTGTCACCGGATTTGATGACGATGGAATTTTATCATTGGGGAACTTGTTATGTCGATGATGGATGGATGGATGATGATGAGAGAGATGATTCGCCACCGCAGATTCCAGGGGTGTTTCGGGTAATCGCTTCACGACGGTGACCGCATGGTAACGAGTTGGCGGGCGGCGATTCGTAATGTAATCGGATTAATTTCCATAATTAGTTTGAATAATAATTAATCGAAATGTTTTGGGGGGGGAAATCTCTAATAGATTATCGTCAAATATGTCGTCATAAAGGGGAACCAATGAATTCATTGATGCCAAATTAACCGATGCACCAGATAATGAATTACATTTACAAGATCATATCCGCCGCACTTATTCATGTAAGGCTCGATCGACCCAAAAGGATGATCAATTAATTGTCTTTGTTTTGCGCCCTTCCCGTTTAAAACTAGAGAGCAAGGGGGATAACGTATTCGGATGCGAAGTCAATTGACAACCGTAGGGAGTGTGATCAGGTGCTTGAATTAGCGTCGAACGGTTAATGGATTGTGATTTTCAGAGAGATGTGGACGAATTAAGATCAACGACATGTGTATTCTTACGATTTCGTGAAAGAAAAGCTCGATTGTGTGGGGTACGGCGGGAAATTAAATTTTTTTTTTAAAAAAAAGGGGGGTGGGGTTAATCTTGTTCATTCTTATGACCGGGGCTAATCAAGCAAGTTTCTTTCCGTAAACAATGATTCAAGAGATTGGCGAATCCAATCAGAACCAATTTGCGCGTCCGAATCATAGGCACGATAAATTCCTCGTCACATGTCATCTCTCGACTTGAGCATTCCTTAATTCGCCACTCATTTTCGCGCGCGCACCCCTCGGTTACGTTATTTATTAGGTCAAGTGGGACAATCTGACGTCAATAATCAATTCAACAAGTAACTACCTTGATCACGAATGAATTTCACATGAAACACCGTCGGCAAAGAAATTACACATGCCAATGGAATAGAACTTGCAAACATGTACCCAATGGCAATGAGGTCACCGACTATGCAATCAGATGTGACAAGAAAAGTAATCTTGGTACCGTCAGATTTGGTTTAAGTTACCATTTGAATGAATTGCGAGGGTCATCACCGATGAATCCACCAGTAATAATGCTAATTAAAAGTAGGGGATGTAGGGATCACACAAGGAAAACAATAATAACGATAACACAATCATCCGGGGGCGGTTGCAACTAATAATGCGCACACCAATCACAATGCGAGATGGGAATTTGGAATGATCAATGAAAAACAAGGAACTCTTAAACATCCGTCGTGGTGTCACTTTGGACTGCCCAAAAATATGGTGCCACCGAATTTCAAGATCGGTAAAACAAATTTCCCAAAGGTGACGAAGATTTTCACGATAACCGGGTTTTCTATTATTAACAGTGTATTCTTATTCCTCGGAGCTACCACGCTTTATTACAAATGTCATTGAAAAAAAAAAGAGCCAGGAGGAATGGCTTGTGTCTAGTCTAGCGATACCCGATGGACATTATCTTTTGAAATCTAGATGCGTGAAAAAACTCGTAAGTAACCACGTTTTAATTAATGGAAACTTTCAGGGGGGTATTTATTTTTGTGTTAATGGATAAGCCACGAGATATTGTTGTAGATCCCAACACACCATGACCGCGTGGGAATATGGTGAAACTTTATTCTGCTAGTATTGCGTAGACCTAAATTATATGATATGTATGCGATGAGCGTGGAGTGAGGTGATTTGCTCTAGCAAACAAATAACCTTCTGAATCAAGTAATTTGGTGCAACCGAGAGATGTTCGATCATTATTCACACCAAAAATTGGGTGACACGAGCGAAATTTTTTATTCAGATTTGACGTTATACTATAATTCTATTGTGATATGAGCTTGACTAGTTTAGGTAGTTAATATCAGCTAACCTACAACCATGCTCAGTACGCACAATCAATTTAATGGTGGCGCAAAAAGTAAACAATGCCAAGGATGGAAACTTCAATTCTATTTTTCGTGTGTTGATTTATACCCTCATTGGCCATATCCTTTTTTTTCAAATCCCACCATAGAAATTGATTCCAGATTGAACTTTCCTTTTGACGCGATCGCCTACCATAATTGGATCAGAATAATGCTAATGGCGAATGTCCTATGGTTTTATCATTTAAATCATCGGAATGACATCATATTAAGTGTTAAATCAGTGTTAGAATTGAGAAAGGATTTTCATCGAACTTTGTGGCGAGGCGCACACCCACTTTATTTGATCGTTTGGGAAGGCGCAGGTCTCTCATTTCCCTATTCACCTCTCTATAAATAGAAAATTGTGTGTAATCATGAGGGTGGTTACCTCAATCGTTCGTGGTTCATTCATTTGTGGTTCATTCATTCGTCGGTTTATTCGTCGGTTCATTCGTCGGTTCATTCATTCGTTGGTTCATTCGTTCGGTGCCAAGAACATTGGTCGAAATGCCCGAGGAACAGATTGTCTCGGTGGAACCTGAAAAGAGTGTGTAGAAACAAGGAGGTCACAAAATGTCATCAGATGTCAAAAGCAATCTGGCATTAATTAAACTAGTAAAGGTTAATGATAGAGTGTGAAAATCATCGTGAAAATGGTCATTTGTTTACTTCCTCATGGCGATTTGTTTACCAAACATTTTCCTCTTTTAAAAAAATGTCTCCTTTCTCGTTCACTGATCAAAACCCAATTGACCAATGGATGTCGGTAATCCGAGTGATTCATGCTTTCGTCTTTTCGTCAGACAAAAAAGGGACGAGTAGAGCGCACATTCGTCCGACCGCACGCAGAATTTTTATTAAACATTGACGCTTTTCCGTTCCTTTCCTTTCCTTTCCTATCAGCACCACCACCACTACCACTATTATCATTATTTTTATTTTTATTTTTATTTTTATTTTTATTATTGTCATTATTGTTATTGGTTTGGGTAAAAGGAGTCCATGCCAAAAACATATTCACCTCTTGTGCCATGGGTCAAAGGCGAAATGCGTATGTCGGCAATAATAATGTAGGAAAATGCGTTTGTGTTTGTTTGTTTTCTAAGGTTTAAGTTATCAGCAATCTTCATTTAAACTATTGTGTGTATGCAAGCTGCCTTATATAAATTCATAGATAGCGCCATCGAAAAAGTAAGGTTGTATGTATGCCTTATTGAAACACCTAAAAAAAAAAAAACTGTTGGCATCCCTTGGAACATATACCGTATGTTGTACAAATGAGATTGTCATCGATTGAGAAACTTAACTGCTAATGGAATAATGGCTTTTCACAAAAGAAAAAAAACCTACTCTAACATACGTCGGTCTATTGTTAAGCTGCTGAGCTATCGACCGCCACGTTTCTTTTTTCCGCTGTGCCTGGTGACCCACGTTCCCTTTTTCCGCTGCCCTTGACAACCACGTTCCTTTTTTTCCGTACAGGGTTCAAAAAGACTAGACCCGTATGATAGGCAATTCCAAACAGGTGCTGTGACGCAATCTAACTCTCAATCGGACCGCCCACACGCCTCACCGATTGCTCGCTGGCCTCGTTCTCGTCAATCAAAGAGATTGTGAACGAAAGGTCGAGCGCGGGTGGCGGCTGACCGACGCTTCCCAAAAAACCCTCTCAAGCATTGCTCGGTTTGTGTGCTCTACGCACCTGAAAATACCGATACGATGTGATCGCGCATCGACGGAATCTAAAAGTTCTCACCATCTTTCTCCTCGCATAATCTCACAGGCACCCTTTGGTTCCAAATGACGTATTATCAATCATCGATTACCATAAACGCTTTAATTTAAACTACAAAAACGTAAAGCCATATCTCGGAAAAAAAATACGTAAATTTCCATTTGGGAGAACAAGTTTTTTTGTTTACCGGATGTCAATTAACTTTCTCGGATAAACCGGAAATGCCCTGCGCACATACTGGATATCTATCATCAATACTCATCCTATTTCTAGAATTCTAGGCTTATCATAATAAACGTAAAACCCTTCAGCTGGTCATTGTGTGCTATGGTCTATAGCGTTAATTTTGGGAATACACGTTATGTAATTGCGCAGTAACGGGAAAGTGTTTGTTGCCTAGTGGTATATTACATTAGTATTGTTGATCATCTAATAGTACAATCAAAAAAACATTCCTTTCATGAATGCATGTCATGTTGAAAATTAGTAATCCAGGAACCGGAGAAAAACAGTAACCCCGTTTTGGTGCAGTTAATTTAACAGGGTAACGATAACAAATGATAACGAGAGATTAGATAAAGAGCAACAACCTTCATTCTTTTGTAATTAATGTGTGCGCATAAATTTAATTGCCTAATGAGAAAGGAGGTCTGTCATGAAGGTGGTGTTGTAATACCTTTGTTGTATTGTTTGCGCACGGTGCCAATCATTCGTGCGTCCCACTTCCTTGTCATCTTGTCGCATGGTTTGGGGTTTCTTTTTTCCGACCGAGATCCTTTATTTCAGGTGTCAGCATTAGTCAAAACCCAAGCGCCCCATCGCGAGCATGACAGTTGTCAGGTCTTTCTTTCTTGCACTCCCCCAAACAGTGGTACGATGATGACACCTTCATGCATGACAATCTTTAATTGCCCGTCAAACACCGCTTCGATCAATCTGATTTGATGATGTGTTCGATCGAAAGCGACCTTTTGTTTTCCAAAAATGATTCTACCCAATTATCATTCCTTGCAAGCCAATATTTGTGACGGTGCCGTGGAACAGATCATCTTGTTGCGAGATGACCTCGGTTCTCGTTAACTCCTGAAGAATTTGGTTATGTCCTTGCCGTTTTTTTTTTGTTTAGCGAGATTCGAGTTCTGTTCACATTTTGATCGATCAATCAATTCGATTGACGGGTGAAACGATGAGCTTAATGATAAATTAAGATTGTAATGGAAGCTGTTATAGAAATAAAATTTTTTGACAGGAATGCGTGTCTCCCGATCTTACGCCAAGAAATTCAAAAAAAAGAAAAAAAGAAAAGGGGAAAGGGTGGTAGGAGGAAAGGGTGTGTTGACTGTACGTTGATTGTACATACATTGTTGTTTGACGGCAAAGAGGATAACAATTCGTCTCGCGAGGTCCGACGCAGAAACTGTTCCTTTGGTCCGCATTAACCCATTGTGTATAATCGCATGAAAAATATTCTATTATGTGCCATGTGCTAATTTCAATAAGAAAATGACGGTATCTTCACATGATTGTTGGATCAATGAAATCATAGAAACAATTTCTGGTTAATCTTATCACCCTGCACGTCAAATTTTATTTAACCTGACAGAAATGATTGAATTTATTCACCCATTTACCGTACATTTTTATTAAGTCTCGCTTTTTTTTTTGATCCGGTGTCGAGTTGAATCATTCGGATTTTTTGCGTGAGACTTCCTTTTAGGAAATTCGAATTCTTTTGCTGAGCGTTCATTGACTTGAAATCATCACATTATCCGCTCTCGCGCATGAATGATTTCGAATTCTTCCAGAACCAATAATGATAGGATCGTGATTATTGACTTTTACGCCTGCCCTTTTTTATCTTTTTTGCGCTTATTTATACCTGCGGAAAATATGTGGGTTGATGTTTGTTTGTACCCGCAGGAACCCACTATTGTCATGTGTTTGACGGACGGCATTTTCGCCATATGCTTAAATGCTAGCTTCTCATCATGCGCGCAAAGGACGGTGACAGCGCCCGACGTTCCATTCGTGATGAATAGAAGGTCAACAACAACACTCTTCACGAATTCCCTAGGACACGCTTCTTTGTTTATGATATTATAGGAAAACAAAAATAAAGACGACGCCGACGCTCTTCTTCTGTTAGGCAAAATTCGTGCAGTCGGTGACTTAACGTTAAGTTTAATTAATATTGACATATATATACTGTATTTATATTTAAAACCTAGGTGCATAACTAACATTTGACATATAAACACAATTAGAATAAGGAGTCGTTATCGTACATATTGTCATATTGTCATATTGTATATGTATCACCGAGCTGTCAGTCAGTCGGTTTATCGTAAATGCCGGTAACACCAATGAACATTTATTATTATGACACACATAAACAGTTCTTTGGAATCTGAGGTCATTCCGGAGGCGGAATATTTTTAGACGACTGACCTGAAGGGAAAGAGAGTGAAGGAAAAGAATGACCGGCCAAAAACGAGAGGTTTAATATTATTCGAGGACCCAACAAATCGAATCCGACCCGTCAGCCAGCTGACGATGCGTCTCTCTCTCTCTCTTTTTTTTTTTTTCAAAAGAACAAGGAAAAAAAAAATTCGCTAGCCGGGGATTGTGCCGATTCAACCGTGAAGTATTAAATCTTGTGTACATTACATACACGCCACGATATCAACTATGCAGTATAATTTTTCCTCAAACTCGCTATCATTATCTTTTCATCATCAATCAATTCATCGCCTTTCTCTGCAATATTACAAATTATACACCCAAAGTTTTATGCTGCTCTTGTAATATACTGCAACAATCGACTCTATGGTCTCAAAGGAAATGGTATACACAAAACATTGCAATATTTTATGATCAAATGAGGAATGAGATGAAATGAATAAAATGTGTACACTGTTTTGACACTTAGACTCCCCAGTGGGTCGGTCTTATGACAGATACAAATAGAGTAGACATATATGTATATATAGTGTGTATGTGTACTGTATGTATTTACAGTATATATACAGTATATTGTATCTTCTATTCAGATTTTTATGTGGTGGCCTACTGTAGGAAAGATTAACATTTATTTATACTAGCTATTCTATGAAACTATTGTAAATATATAAATATGTCTGAAATTTTAATTTCCAAAAAATTTTAATCAATCGTTTGTCTACATACAAATTTTCAGTATCGCAAAAAAACTTGCGAGAAAAAAAAATTTTTTTTTTTCTTTTTCCCCTCTTAAATAATATTTTAAATATTGCATTTTTGTGGATTAGTGCGTTAAAACAAACCACACCACACGAAACCAGCAAAAACAAGAAAACAAGCATAGTGCGGTCGACACCCAACAACACCCATAAAGGTATTTATCATAATTATCGGTGAGAAAGACCACCTCGATATTTGTTTTGTGATTCCTTTGCTCCTCTTTCGTTTGCCCCTGCAATTTTTCGACTTTTCCTCCTGCGCCTTCGTCCCGTTCTGCCCTCTCCTCTCCCCCCCCCCTCACCCCTCAAGCATTTCATTTCGAGTCGTCTCGAGTGCACGTGATCGATAATTTTAGTCATATCATTCGAACGCGCTCCGAAAATTTGTATTTCTCGCATTTACACACGTCCACCTTAAGGATCGATTTGTGTCAACAAACAGTTCTCGATCAACTCCACCCTACCCCGGCTTCGTTTTTCTATTTTTCTATTTGTTCTTGGAGTTGACCAAACCCTTTTTTATCTTCTAAACAAAAACTGGTGCGTTCCTGTTCGTCTCGCACTTTGTGAAATAATTGAATTTCGTTCTACCCTTTCTCCGAAATCGCTTTCATCAACATTACATAAATAACGTGCAATACAAAGCATAATTCGTCCATCCAAAACTTAATTCTTTCTTGATTTTTTTTTTTTTTTTTCTTCCTTAGAAAATGCCGGCTGCCAATTCTACATCTGCCGCGCGCTCAAGAAATAGTAAAATTGAACTGACCAAAGACTACTCATACCTTTCAAGCGGTATGGGCAGCATTCATGATAATAGTGACCGAGGTGGTGTTCAAGGCAGACAGGTAATTTTTGATTCGGTGGTGTAAACACACGTGACTTTAGTCACAAGTGTTAGCCAATTTCCTTTAAAAAATTTACTGTTTCAATCATTATCTTCAACTCTTTCTCAAATAAACGATTTCATTTCTCCTCATGTTTATCAGAGCGCAAATGCCATCACTACCACGAGTCGCAAAAATAATAATGATAGCATGTTCTCCACCATGAGAAACATTTACGGCAAGGTAACTGTCGTTCTCGCCTGTTCGATAAAAGCTTTTTCCTATCCCAGTACACCCCGGTCTTAACTTTCCAAATTGCGATACATTTCTTAGGACGAAGAAATTTTCAACGATACAAGTCCTTTTGCTACTTCGACAAGAAATAAGAAGGTAATATCATCATATAATCAATAGAAACTTATTTCTACCAGAAACTACAGTATCATATAAGGTAAAATCATTACGACTGGGGTATTCTCAACAGGCTTATTAACGCTCAAATGCATTTGCATCATACAATATTCTAGGTGGCTCAACAACCCCCACGTCCAACCACCCCCCATGCAAACAAGGATTTCATTTCGAGAAACAAAAACATGGTCTCATCCATAACCAACAAGCCTCCAGTGTCACCAGTTAACACCGGCAAACAACAACAGCCTCAACGTTCGGCGGGAAATGCCCAATCGTCTGCGCGAACTGCTACTCGCTCTGCTACCCCGAAACCGGACAAGAAAAAAAGTGCACAGTCCACGGCTGTCCCTTCCAATGGTAAGATGTCAGCTTCACCCGCTCGTCGTCCGGCTTCACCCCCGACCAACACTCAACATCTCTCGGCTCACCGTCTCTCTCACGTTCGTGCTGACTCTCCTGACAATGGGTTGCGCGAGGAAAATAGAAAATTGAAACGTCGCCTGGTTGAAGCCGAAGAATTGTTGGTTGAGAAGCAACGCGAAGTGATTGAGTTGGAAGACCAATTGAATGTTTTAGAAGATGAGAATCGTGAGTTAAAAGAAGAATTGGAACGTATAAAGCGCATTCAGTCCGAGGAAACCAAGAAGCAAGCTTCTGACAATTCACCCCTCGGAATTCTTTCGGCCATAATGAGCGATCACCAGCGAATTATCAATACTCGTTCTGATGCAACCTCGTCTCCCGCTCCTCTCCCCAGTTTATCTTCGTTGGTCGGAACCAATTCCTCTCCTCACGCCGCATTGAAAAAAACTCAAACTCCTGCAAACATCACCTCCACGACAAAAAAAGACAGACAACCCAACAAGGCCAACAATGTTAAGAGCGTTGCACCTGTGACATCCTCCGTAAAACCTCATGCGTCACCTGCACCCCCAAAGTCAGTTGCACAAACTCCAAAGCGAATGGTGCGTTCTACTCCACCCCCTCTTAGCAAACCTGTGGGGTCATCGGGTCAACACGTGAAAGGAAATATGGTTTACGCGAAAAAGACTGCTGCTGATCTGAATGTTGATATGGAGTCTGATGGAAGCGACGCTGACGAATTTACCTCCGAGAATGACACGGATGATGATTCTTCCGATCATACTACAGAAGATGAAACTACCGAAGATGATTCCGAATCGACTTCCACCGACGATGGAGATGATGATGACGATGATGATGATGATGATGATGGTGAGGACGAGGAGATGGTCGAACATTGTCAACCTCGGATTCCGAAGGACACTTTAAATCTTGATGACAACAGTTTCGCGCCGGTTCACGGCCGATCGGTTGACAATCGAGAAGATGATGACGACGCTGGTAGTTTCTTGAAACATGAGTTGATTGCGATTGATGAAGATGGTGATGATGATGAAGACGATGAATTCGAATTAGACCAAGAGATGCAAAATCAATTGTGTCAGAAGAAGTCTTGGGCCTCTTTTAACTCGGTTGCACATGCATCTTTCAGAAATGACTCATCGCTCAACACCCCTTCGACCACCGATCACGATAGCCCCAAAAATAATTTCCGACGTCGTCTCCGACGCAACAATTCTGGTTCCCGTAAAGAACAACAATCCACCACAAACTCAAATTCTGAACAAAATGATCCTTCCATTCCCAACATGATTAACGGCAATCAACAATCCCAACTTCACCTATCGGTCCCAACCAAAGATCACCTTCATCGCGATTCGATCTCATCGAATTCTTCCGATTCCACGACCTTCTCCCGAAATGGTTCGTATCCCTCATCAGCCACATCCCCGTCGAGCACTCAAACGGATTCCGATCATATCAACAATGAACCATTGATCTTTCCCGATGTTTCCGATTCCAATCGACATGATCAAAACAACTCATTCTCTCATCAACATCACAGCTCATCTTCTGGTCATCAAAACAATTCTGATTCCGCCCCCGCCAAGCATCTTCCATCACCAGCCTTATCCCAACCTTTGAACACCCCATCGTCCAATGCCCGTCCACAGTCACCTGCATCTTCAACTCGGTCATCAATTCCCAATATCAATGGTTCAACCACCCGTGCACGATCCCCTGCCTCATCATCTCGATCATCAACACCTGCTTCTGAATCGAACCGTTTTACCTCTGGTCAATCCCGCCGTACACGTGTCCACGAACCCTCAAACTATGACGATGCTGAATCCTCATCCAACAGAAATTTCGTTCAACTGCCCCCACCACCACCAAACACAAAAGATCCAGTCGCCACTTTGCAGCACTACCTCCGCTTGATTTCTCATGAATGCGTTCCAGGTAAAAATAGTCCTCAAGAGATTTACGATATCAAAAAGGTCATCGACGAAGGTTCCTCCGCAAAAGTCTACACCGCTCGCCCTGTGGCTAATCGCAAAGAAGAACTTGCCGTCAAGATTGTCCCACTTACGTACAGCTTGGAATTCATCTTTAACGAATTATACGTGTTGAAGAACTTTAAGCACGAAAATATCGTCGATTTCAAAGAGAGTTACTTGAGGTGGGACGGGAAAAATCGAGAAGTTTGGATTGCCATGGAAAAATGCGCCCTTGGAGATGTGACCAGCCGTGCTGGCAAAATCAGCGAACGTGAAGTTTCGCGCATTGCTCGAGAGGTAAGTTGCGACGAAATCAATCACGAATCGTGAGACCATGTGAATGTCGCGAGAACTGATGCGATCATTCATTCTTTTTCCGACCAATGTTTAGCTCTTACAAGCACTAAAGCACTTGCATTCTAACGGCGTCATTCACCGAGACCTCAAGCTTTCAAACATTTTGGCCGACGTCAACAATCAAATTAAACTTGGTATGTTTATCAAGAGCAGGAATTGTTTGGTTTGGTTTGTCGACGACACCACACACGCGTGCTAACCGATTGCGAATAATCGCAATGTTTTCTTTTAATTACAGCCGATTTTGGAATCTCTTCACTGGAACCCATCTCTACCACCGCTATGGTTGGAACGATCCCGTACATGGCCCCTGATGTTGTTCTCGTCTCGCCGGATCGACCTTACGACACGAAAGTTGACATCTGGTCTCTAGGTGTCTGTATCTTGGAACTTTTGAGCGGCAAGGCGGCCTGGGGTCGTATCAGGGATGATGAAATAATGGATAAATTACGTAGAGGTGAGATGCCCTCCGGATTCCAACGTTTGACTGACAAGACCGAGATCGGATGGGAAGTCAAAGATTTCTTGCAAAAGTGTTTCGCCAGTAATGCAGACGCCAGATGGTCCGCAGAGAAACTGTTGGAGGTATGATTGATTGATTGTTTGTTTGTTTTACCAAGAATTCCTTGTAGCCAAGGTTTGGTTCGACTTACTCACCCTCTTTTATTTTTTTTCTTTTGCAGCACAAATTCATTACCAAATACTTATATTAAAAAAAAAAAAATCACAAACACAAACACAAACACATCACAAACACAACAAAAAAATTTCGATTATTATTTTTTTTTTTGACGACTTATTTCGATGAACGGCTCACTGATTTATAACCCAACCATTCAATTCTCACTTCTGACTGGCTGCCCCTACTGGTAAACCCGAACTGACCTGTAATGGAACCCCTTCCTTTGGTAAAATATCGTTTTTTTCCTTTTATTATTTAAGAAAACATCCCCTTTATCATATCCCTCAAAACGCTTCTGTCTACCTTCAACGGAGTGATTCATCACACACCTACTGCGTATCATTCATCATTACACGCACAATCGTGTCATTATCAAAAAGGATCACTCCAAATTACTTCAAATTTATCTTCATCAATGTCAAAGGAACAAGCACCTCCATAATCTGGGTTTTTTTTTTGACATTGAACAATTATTTATTTAAGCCATCAACATTGTATTTTATTATTTTTTTTTTTTTCAAAGAAAAATATATTTATACGTTGATGATACGTTTTTTTATATTGCCTAAGTTAATTACCCCGTCAATTTTCTTCCCTCTATTTATTTTTACGTATATGCACAATAGATAAGCAATAAGCAAATATCACTTCGATTACTTACAGAAAAAAAATTTTTTTTTTTTTACTATTTATTACAAAATAGCATTTTTTATAAGTTTATTATAAGCAGGAATGAATTAAGATTGCAAATATAGTTTTATGCCTATTCTTCTCATGTATGGTTTATTTCATTTGTCGAAACCCTTTACCTTTTTTATTAACCTGAAACTTTACACAAGCCTTCACACACGACGCATCATTTCGCCTTAGCACAAGCACGAGCACAAACACAAATAACACGCAAAACCCACTGGTCGATCTTCACACAAACGACAAGCGAGGAGCGACCGCAGTCACCTTTTCTTTGTACCGACTTCGGTTCTCCTTTCTGTCGAATTTCTGTCCTGCACGTGGACACCTCGCAATCATCTTTCGCCGACTAATTCCGCACGCACATTTCCGTTTCTATTTCATTTTTTTTTTCTCTACGACTATCAAAAGAAATTGTTTTCATCGGTTCTACATTAGAACCTTTGTTTTGGTTAGTAGTTATCTTTATTTATTTATTTATTTATTTATTATTTATTTATTTATGGTCGAGTTTCCTCGCCACTTCTCTTTCTCTATAATATGAGAATCTGTAATAAAAACATGTTCAAGTATTTTAATGGTGTAATCTTTTTTTTTCTTTTTTTCAATGCCTATCACAGATCATCAACCTATCGGCCAATCTAATGTGGTCATGTTCTTGGAAGTGATGCGACCGATCCTCTCAATCAAACTTCATCTTGCATATGACGGGTCCTTTCCCGACTGACTTACCTAATTGCGAGTTCCGCGTGTTTTCAGGATGTTGTGCGAAGAAGTAGTAGTGAATTTGCCGTGTTTTTTTTAGTTGTGCAGCTCCATTCTTTTAGTATTAGTTTTTCCTCTTTAATAATTATTTTTTTACTTCATTTATTTTAATAAGTTCTTTTCGTCGTTTGTGACTATTAATCTTTAATAATGAATTATATTTCTCTAAGCGGGGGAAGAAAATTAAAATCCTTGCATGTAACTTTGCATTTATTTTATTTTTTTTTTTTGTTTAGCATTCACAACTTTTGTTTTCTGATTTTTTTCTTTTCCGGTTACGGAACACGGAAAAAAATCAAGAAAACTTGTTTAATCATCATTCATCAATTTCACAAGCATTTGTTGGACTAGGAGCACTTGCATTTTATTGTATATTCTTTCATTTTTCATTTTTCAAACCAAATTTCAATGTTTTTTTTTTCTTGAAAAAAAAAAAAGCAAACAATTGACCCGATCGCGTTTTATTTTCGATGAAAGAGAAATGTTTGATGATTTTCTCGTGCAAGGAAAGATACTCTCGCCTTTTCTTTAATTTACGCGAGTGGGTCAGGATGGAGGAGGAGGAGGAGATGTCTTTAGTAATAATTAGTCCCTGTTCATAATGATCATTGTAATTTATAACGAGATTTCAGTATCCTAATATTAATAAGAAGTATTTTATTATTTATTTAATTTTTTATTCTAATAATCAATTATTCACTCGTAATTCTTAATCACCAAAAAAATTATCATCGTAGTGTTAGTGTTAATGTAAATATATAGGAAAAGTAATATTATTAAAGACTTCATCATAATCACTTGTGCATCTAAAATAATGCAATTGAGAGAGAACTGTTGTGTGAATTTTCAGTGACGACGGTCGTCGAGCTCTTTTGTCAAAATGTCACACAGTCGAAGTCATTTATTTATGGTTTATTCGTTTTGTCCGGAGACGGCACTTTGGAAGCTGTGAGGGGAGAGAGAGAAAGGCGACTTCACAGGCATGTACTTTTTACGAGACGCGTCTTTATGAACATTTACTTGGCAATCAATGCGGATGATCACACGTACATATGACAAATTTTATGAAACTTTTTTATCGATGCATGAACGAGACTTTGCGCATTTTTGATATTTATAGAGAGGATGGGTCCATTGCTTTCGTTCATAAGAAATAAAAAATGGGTGCGTGCGTGTGTGTGTGTGTGAAGCGCTGTTGAAAGACGCGCCATCTAAGACTTTGGTGAAGTCAGTCGAAGGAGTATGGTATCGATGTCAAACTTTGTCATGACATGTCAAGCGAAATTGCAAACACTTTATGAGCAAATAATTTTATCAGTCGTCTTTTTTTTTCTGAAAAAAAAAAAAAAAATTTGTTAAAAAAAAAAACAGAATATGAACATGGACATGACGCTTATATATAGGCCTGTTGCAAATTCAATAAAATGTAGACCATTGCTATATAAATCTCAAGCTTGACGGACGCAATATGCCCATCTAAAGAAGCGCATTTTTTTAATGCATTAAAAAAAAACGAGGCAAGACATTTTCATTAATGAACATGTGTTATTTAGATTATTATTTCTTAATTTTTATTTTATTTTATTTTATTTTATTTTTTCATCAACAGTATTATTTAAGACTCTATCATATGTGCATTATAGAATATCACCAATGCATCGCTATCGACTAATGTCTCACAAAAAAAGTCCAATTATGTGTCCTTTAATGAACACTTAACAGAGAAAAACCTGTTTCCTTTTTGACTTTTGGATTCCTTTCTCCGGGAATCAACAATCGCCTTTCGCAATCGGTAGGAGAGTGTCATTCATCAAATTTCCAAGCCTGAATTCATCACTTCAACATCTGTCATTAATGCGCGAAGGCTGGAAGGATGCGTCTGGTGAATGCTGGCGAGAGCAATTGGGGTAATTGGATGAACGCGTGGACGAAAACTTGAGTAATATTAAATTTTACGCCCGTTGAAATTAAAAGAGAGATGTTCCCACGTACATGTTGATTGATGTAGAGAAAACG